TAAGACAAAATTCTTTAACTTCAAATTTGTACTTTTTAAATATTACCTTTTTGCAATAAAAAATACGGAGTTCACTAGAAATGAGACTAACGCCCTTTTTACCGCTCTTTGATATATAGTACAAGAAGAAAATTTAAAGAAACAAATGTGGAGACGTTTTCAAGAAAACAATTGTTTAAAAATTACTTTACTTCATGCAAAGTAAGGCGGAAATCACTTACATTTTCGGAAGATTGTACATTACGATAATTCAAGATCTCTCTTTAAAAACAAATTTCATTAAGGAAAATCACTCTCTTCCATATTATAGTTATACAAAGACGCTAAAACTGAACTTGCGGAATTTTCGGTAAATCAGAAAAAAAATCAGACTGGTGCCAATGCTTTACGCTACCTGAGGATAACGTTTAATCACATACGTTAGAGAAAACGTTTTGAGAAACTTTTGTGAATGTTGTTGAAGCTTTATGTGAAATATCCCTCAAAACTAAAATATCGGTTTCAAGCACGCAGGGTCTCGAGTTCCTGAAAGCCGAAGTAGGAATATGAATTTTGGAAAAAACCGGTTAAACGATTTAGCGTTGATCACAGACGGACAGACAAATCGATTCTTCTGTTTCAAGGACCCACACAACATGGATTCTGACTTCACAGCGTGTTAGAGAAAGTAATTTACTGTATATAGGAACAAGATTTACCTACTTTTTCGTTACAAGGACTCAACATCAAGAGTTTTTCTGACAAAATTCGCAGTTTTCGGGCGGGAAGATCACAATACTTTCCCTTTTTTTGAAGGGCGAGAAAGTAAAAGGGGAGTGAAAACTATAACATTATGATACACATCCTTACATAATTGCATTAAGTTGATGAATTAATTCCTTCGTTGTCGACAAGTAGAGATGTAAATTATATTGGTGTTGAGAAGAAACAAAAATGTTAGGATATATTAAGCAATTGATAAAAATAAAACTTTCTTTGGAACGACCTTTACTTCATGAAATGTCACATAAATTTTAATATTCGCCTGAGATAAAGTAATTTTTATCGCAAAAAAATAGCACGAAGTTTTTAGGAATTGTGTTCTTTCTTCACAAAAGTTTGCGACTCTCGCTTTGTCTTTGGACAGGTCTGTGACAGTTGCTTGCCCTCTGGTGCTGGTGAGATTTTGTTTGCCACAGGCTCTTCTGAACAGTCACGATTTAGTTTTATAATTATATACTTTACTAAAAACAAAAAAAAGTATCACTGGCATAAGATAGGCAATATTAATAGAAGATTTGTGAAAGAAATTAAATTTGGGACATGATGAGAACGAATGGTTTTGAATGACAAAAACTTTTGTTCATCAAAGACTCCCTATTTTATACATGTCAGAATAAATATAAATATTGTCTCTATTTAATTGTGTATAGTACCAGTCTTTCCCTAATGTTGATCGATGAAACCGCTGAGAACAGGCGGCCTCTCGCATTCTCCTACAGACTTAGGTTGAATTCAACCCAGTTGTCTTGCTAGTTCCGAAAATTCGCCACCAGAGGGGGATTCAAACTCCTTGACTACCAGGTCAACAACGTTGCAGGTTGGTGCTGCCGCTGAGCAACACCAACCTGCAGCATGGTTTGCCGGTACCAAGATTTGAATCGCGACTCCAGACCTCTAGCAGGGCGGTCTCCCGAGAGCCTGCATTTCGAGGGGCTCAGTCTACGCAGCTCGGTTTGTAGGAGTTTCCGCGTGGGGACGGCCGCTTGTTTTGAATCCAAAGGCGGGCGGTGCGCGGCCGCTGTTTCATGCCGGGCCGCCATAAGCGATGCCGTCCGAGCGGGGACGGTTCGTATGGAAATGCGGATGGAAATAGGCCGGAGGGCGAGAGGGGATGGCGTGGCGAGGTAGCGCGGGGCAGAAAGAGCGTGGTGCGCGGTGCCTCCCAGGCAGCGACTGCCACCGCTCAAAAGCACGCCGGCTATAAAGTGTTCCACGGAAAAGACGTCTCTGTCGCAATGATTTGCATGTGCTTCATACATGGTCATACGTCTCTCGGCCAGGTCTATTTGCGTTCGAGCGGATTTACGTGACTTGCTCTGGCGGTTTAGTGAATTGCAGTGCGCATCGATTAATCTCTGAGGGAGCAAGATTGTCGCACTTTCTTCTTCTTAGAAATGTTCCTCTAATGATATATTTTGTCGCAAGTAATCAAATAGAAAAAAAGGTAGTATAAACGAATAGTACACGTCGCATTTGATGTCATGTGAGAAGATTTAAGAAAGTAATCATATGATCCGGAATTATACTACATTTCCAGTATTGCACAAGCAATTTTGTTTTACGTGAAATGGGTTTTGCAGAGTCCGGATCATTAAAAATGAAATATTTTGGATAGTTGTATTCAAGTGTCAATAAATGAAAGAGAAGCAAATGAAATTTGTCAACATTCAAGAATACTTTATAATTTGCGCGAGATGTAAGAAAATGCATTTTGAATAAATGGCGCGTCGTTTAAATGCCGTCGTGACAATGTTGCGGCATTCGACGTTCATGTATCACCGTTAAACAAATGGGCCCAGTTCAGAAACGTATAGACGACAAAATCCGAAAGAATTACGGAGATTGCTATTATTAACTTCAGTAAACGAGAAATGACGATTTGTACGAAGGTAAAGTTTGTATAAATTTATAATATTTAAGCGAAGTTTCGGAGATATGTCATGTCTTTCAAGAATAACGGAAAACCGCGGGAATGCAAAAAAAATGACCATACTGAACTTTTAACATTAAATAGCATATTTGAACTGCGTTGATAACAAGCTTGTTTGGTCTTTTTTACAGAAAATGTGAATCTTTTAACGAAAGATTCCATTATATCTTCATATAATTAAAATCGAGATAAAAGTTTAGATATAATTTCACTTTTTACTTGTTTACCATAATTTTGAGCATTATAAGTGTCACGGGATTTTAGAAAAGGGAAATATAATACCAACTTGTGGCATGAAAGAAAGGCTCAATTGAGAGACAGTACTTAGACTAGATATACTTACACGTCCGAGGTAGCGAGGACCTTGACGAGATGTCGGCATGGCGTGGTGAATGGGCGGTATCGTCAAGCGACGACAAAGGTGCAAGACTAGAGAGTGCGGACGCCTCAGGCGTGTATTTATATAGGCTGCAGCAACGGGGATGCTGACCAGAGGTATCGCCCATCGCTCGCTGAGTGCCACATGTATCAGTCGGTTGCTCTGTCTAGTTCATTACAGTGGAAATGTTGAAGATCCTCTTTGTCATAGTTAATCTGAGAAGCGGTTCTAAAAATTGGAAAAGGGAAACTGGACACTACACAATATAAGATACATTAATTAGTTATCATCCCATCTGCTGGTTGTATACTGTTCCATACGAGGCAATTGCGAGTTAATGATTGAAGATTTGAAACATTTTACAGGATACCTTGAGAGCTGAACCCACGGCCCCGTTCAGTGCAGAGCGGAGGGTGCTGCAACAGTCTGCGTTTCGTACGTTCATGCCGATGGTACATGTGTGATCAGCGCACCAGAAAAGTGACACATCTAAAATCATTATTTTTTGTAAGGTAAAATATTAAAACGGGTACCCTCGGTGGCTCTTTGGTTAGCGAGCTCGTGTTCCACGGCCCAACCTCGGGTTTGATTCCCGATCGAGAAAAAACTTAATTGTGCGCTTTCCTTTCAATATCCCAGTATCAGTTGCTGGGTGACGATGAAAAAGCTCACTTCTCAGGTTCAGAATACCAGAAATACAACGTATGTGCTAACCACACGTACCCCTTAACCCGTGGCCGCAAGGCCGGGACGCTGCTGGTTGGCCTCAGCTCGTGAAGAGCTGTGTGCCAAAGTACATACATACTACAATATATTAAACAGTAAATATTTTCTAGTAAACATTTCGTAAATATTTTTTACATGAGAGGAATTATATAAGGTTCAATACACTAATTGATCAAAGGATCAGAACACGTCCAAAAAGGTGTTATGGTGTGGTCGTGTTTTTCATGGAGGGGGCTTGCACCCCTTATTTTCTCTATCACAGCACATGGCTAAGTCAATGTTTTAAATACCTTCTTGCTTCCCACTGTAGAAGAGCAATTCGGGGGTGGCGATTGTATCCTTAAACATGATAGAAAATCTGTTCATGCTACACGGCCTGTGGCGGAGTGGTTACGCAACAATAACATCCCTGTAATGGACTGGCCTTCACAGAGTCCTGACTTCCCTATCGAACACCTTTGGTATGTTTTGGAACGCCAACCTCATTCCTGGCTTCACCGACCTATATCGATACCTCTCCTCAGTGCAGCACTTCTTGAAGAATGGGCTGCCATTCCCCACGAAACCTTCCAGCACCTGATTGAAAGTAGGCCTGAGAGAGACGAAGCTGTCATCAACGCTAAGGGTGGGCCAACACTCTATTGAATTCCAGCATTACCGATGGAGGGAGCCACGAACTGGTAAGTTATTTTCAGCCACGTGTCCGGATACGTTTGTTCATATAGTGTACAGTTGTGTTTGGTCGCAAAATACACGGACCGATTATAATCCAATCCATTTTCCTTCAAAATGAAAATGTTTACGGTGGTCAACTGGTATTGATGAAAGGAAAAAAGGGAAATTAGCGCGGTCGGCTGCTAGAATTCTCCTCCGGCAGCGGTTTGATTCGACCCAGCTGCGACTCGCACGTGGAGCCCCTGCGACACACCCGAAGTGGCTCGTCTCCAAAGCAGCGTCTCGGGCATCAGGGAACAAAAGGCGCCCGGAATAGCCACGTGCATGCGATGCACCTGCGCTCGGCGCTGTCTCCGCTGACGTTTATGCGGTGGCGGATTTATCTGCTCATCTGCCGAGCGTCTGTTTCTTTTACGACGTCCTCGTCCGCAGGCCGCCCCCCCCCACCCCCGCCCGTCAGCCCGGGGCCGCTCCTCGCGTCTCGGGATTAATCGTTATTTCGTTTCGCCGTTTCGTTTTTGCAGACAGTTAGGGGTTTTGGGCCGGATTGAGGAAGTTTGTATGACGGATGTATCGGGGATATGCGCCCTTCAGTTTTAACGTCTTGGAAATGGGGTTTGTCTCGTTGCTGGGATGGTGTTTTCTAGTGTACTGCAAAGGTAAACATTTTGATATAAAGGATATTTTACGCACGTGATTGATGAATGAAGTTTAGTTTTGTGAAATATTTTTTTTCTTGGAACCAAGTCTGAAAATATTGACTTATCTTTTTCAGATCCAAATTTCAAATACAAAATCCACATATTACTAATTTATTCAAGATATTCTCATGGATAATGGCTATTCATATATTCTCATGAAGCAATAGAAAATATCATTCAGAAAGTATAATAACTAAATGTCTTAGAGAAATGCGTATTCTGAGAGCTCACGTATTTAATTCGATATTGTAAGTCGTAGTTCGTAAAGACGTCAATTAGTGAGTATCTAGAGATGATTGTGCTGATAACAAACCACCAACTGGTGCTTGAAAGAAGGATTTGTGAAACAAGTGGAAGATATTCCTAGCTAATGCACTCACCAAACGACAGTGAAGCCAACTTAATGAATGACAGGAATCATTTAGCGATGGTGACGAAGAAATAATTATCTTAAGAAATGAGAATATATAAATAAATAATAAAATGTCAAATTATTTTTCAAACACATGATAATTTTTCCTGTCACTTAAAAAAAAATAATCCAACGCACTGTTTAGAAATGAGACAAAGTGACATTAAACCATTTGGAAAATGTAAGAGGGTCTCACGGCAAAATATGGAGAAACAAGCCCCGTAAACAATTATACGAATATTAGTTTTGATCTAGATGAGAAGTTGGGCACAGTTGATAAAAAACAGTGCATAATAGTTACACAGTTGATTAAAAATTCAGAAGATAGAAACAATAAAAATATGTCTATGATTATTATTGTACCATTATTATTATTACTATTATATAATTTGCATGTTAGCTGCATTATCTCATTTATGTAATTAGCTGCAACCGGGTTATGCCCATTTGCAGTTCAAATATATTTATCTTATCTTTATAAATATGTGTGTGTGTACATGGAGTGAAAGTAAAGAAACGTCGTGTTCAACAGTCGTGGATTCACATTCCTCTTGAATTCAATAGGATAAAAGCAGCATGGAGTTAACAGAAATATACAGTTTATCGACATCTTCATAGATATGATTTTCAAAAACAAAGAG